AGAAAAATAATGAAATTCTGGGTGTGGGTATAGAGATAGTCATCACTCACATCCACGTTCTCACACCACAATCATAGTCACAGCGACATATTCACACTCTCTTAAAGCTAGCTTTATCTAATACACAAATTGATTGAAAATATACGTCATCAGTTTGTGCGATCATCCATGAAAACATGTCCGATCAGGTTCAATCACTTTATTCTAACTGTGCCAAACACTCGAATCTTTTCTGAAGAAAAAGAAGCTCGAATTTTTAGAGTCTTGATTCAATCTTATTTGTTTCTGCTCTTCACCACTTTCAAGAACCGAAGGTTGCGTAGGTCTCAATGTAGACTAAGAAGATTACTCCAACCATCTTCACACCAGCACCCTTATTTAAAAAGTTATACCATTTTTTTTTGCAATAAATTTGTTTTTAGAATTATAACGTCGCTTCTTTACTTAGTTTGCCTCATTATATATCTGACTAAATATAATTTCAACAGACAATTAACAAGACACATAAATTATAATAGTAATTTTCAATCTAAACCAAATTTTATTTTCTAATAAAAAAAACTACTATTCATAAATAAAAGTTTATGTGAATTCTAATTATACAAATTTATAAAATTCTACTTGGGTCGAAGAACAAAACAAAGAGGTGTTAGCAATTATGATGTAATCGCATTAGAATTCGCACCAATTTTTGTTAACATAAAAATAAAGATCGAGAAAGAAATCACTTGTGAAATGATATGTAATACAGAGACAATATCAACTGAATTTTCCGGAGAAGATGTTGATATATGAGTGTGACTTTCACGTTCTTTAGATAATATTAATTGTTCTTCATCAATACGTTGAATATAATCAACAAGTCGTAAATGTTGAGTTAATAATGTTCGTAATCGAGATTTTTCCGATGCAAAATGAACAAGTACGAGAAGATACGAACTAACCCAAGCATCAATAAGAGAAAATCTAAATGAAATAAAAGAAAAAGATAATTGGAAATTTTCATAATATTGTTTTTTGATTTCATACTTTTCTCCGCCAATAAATTGTTGATTATTTTTTGCTAGTTTATCTTCAAGTATTGATAAACATCTGTCAGCATCAGCATAAATCTAACAAATATTATAAAAAAGATAACCAAAAAGAAAATAAAAGACTTACTGTATTTTGTTGTTCATTTGAATATGAACATTTATTTGCAATAATATCAAACCATGTTTGTGCTGATGAAAATTTTTTTCGAATATAAAATAAACTAGTCGGTAAACCAATTGTATAATGATATAAAGTTCGAAATGATGCTTTATTTGTTTCATCCAACCATTGTGAATGCATCTATAATAAAAGATAATAAAATAAATTATGCAAATAAAAAAAAAACAAATCATTCATACAAAAGCCGGAACAAATAGACGTTTAAATGTTGCCAATAGAGCAAGTTCGTCAGCTGTTGGCTAAAAATAAATATTTTCTATTTTGTTATTCATTTAATAAAAAAGAAATACTAACATTCAATGTTCGACTATATTCATAGATTGATTCAAATCCAACATAATGCTTTTTATTAACAATATCATGCAACGTTGGATAAGTTCCTTTAAAAGTCGATTATCTATTATTTTATATTAATGAAGAAATATTCTACCGAATATCATAGATATTTGTCGATTAGCATTGACAATTGAATAGGACAAACCTTGTGCACGAAGCCATAACTAGATGTAAATATATAAATATATGTAAACTAATTCAATAAATTATTTTACTGTAGCTGCTAAACATGCTGGATCAACTGTTGATAGATGATTACAATTAGGCCATACAGAAAGTATTAAATTTTCTCGTTCTTGCTGCTAAGACAAAGAAGAAAAATAAAATATGATTATTTTTATCAAATTAATTTAAAGAAAAAAACAAACCAAAACACATTACCTTCGAACTTGTTGTATCCATCTCGACTGATTGTAAAATTTAGTTGACGAATGAATAAATGAAGAAGACATCTATCTTACTTACAATTGATCGATTCATTTCATCAATCAAATTTATGATATAGTCTAGACACACATACCTTGAAATAATCTAATCTATAGAGAACAAAACGTGTGAAGATGACCGGAACATTAAAAAATTTTAGATCAATATGCAAAAAAATTATTTGTATTGGACGTAATTATAGGTAGAAGAAATTTTTTGATGATTTTTTTTTAAATTTATCAGTTCATCATTTAGTGAACATGCAAGTGAATTAGGCAATGTATACCTATATATATATATATATATTTATTTTTATTTTAATCAATTTATTACTCGTTTTTATTTTTCCTAAGGTTGTACCAAGTAAACCAATGATATTTATGAAACCTCCAAGTGCTTTTGTTGTAGAACCAAATAAAATCATAGTATTAGAAATAAAGAGCTTTTTTTTCGAAATCAACAAACAAATTTATTTAATTAGATTCCATCAGAATGGGATGAACTTCATCATGAAGTTGAATTAGGTGTTATTATTGATAAACAATGTCGAAATGTTAATAAAGATCAAGCTGAACAAAATATTGGTGGATATTGTCTTGCACTTGATATGACTGCACGAAAAATTCAAGATCAATTAAAAAAACAAGGTCATCCATGGTTACTTGCAAAAGGTTTTGATTCATCATGTCCATGTGGTGATTTTATTGATAAAAATAAACTTAATTTATCATCATCTGTTAATCTTTGGCTTAGTGTTAATGGACAAATGAAACAAAATGGTCATACACGTGATATGATTTTTTCAATTTCAGATTTAATTGTTTATATATCAAAATATATAACACTTGAACATGGAGATTTAATTTTAACTGGTACACCAGCTGGTGTTGGACCAGTTAAAAGAGGAGATCAAATTGAAGCTGGAATGGATGGTGATAATAATTTTAAATATTCAATGAAATTTAATGTTGCTTCTTAATAGATAAAAGTATTCTTGATCTTTCACGGACTAATCCTTCTGACTATTTTTTTGTCACGTCATAGTTTATAGAATGACGAAAACAATTTAGTTTTGTTAGTTTAAAGATGATTGAAATTAATATAACTCGACGATGATTTTATTTCTATTGCAGATCATTTATCTATTGAATAGAAAAGAAAAAAAAACGAATAATGACGTATATTATTATGGAAAAATTGAAAAGTCTTTTACATGAATATCCTAAATCAACTAATATTTTTATGGGTTATGGTACAGCTGGTTTTCGTGCTCGAGCTGATATACTTCCATGGATAATGATTCGAATTGGTATTCTAGCTACACTTCGATCTAAAGTAAAACGAGGTGAATTTTTTTATTTATTTAATAAGATTTTTTTTGTTTGAAATTCTAAATCTTAATTATAGCTTGTGTGGGTGTAATGATAACAGCTTCACATAATCCTGAATGTGATAATGGTGTTAAATTAATTGATCCACATGGTGAAATGCTTGATCAAACATGGGAAGTTTATGCAAATACTTTATGTACACTTGAGTTAGTTAAATGAATAAAAGAAAAAAAATCATATGATTTTTCTGGTTTAATTAGTGATGATATTAATATCATATGGGATTATGTAGAAACATTAATGATTCAACTTAATATTCAGCCAAATGATGAAGCAATTATTGGTATTGCATATGATATTCGGTTTGTCACAACAAATTTTTTTTTATAAAACTATATGAATATAATCTATGGTGCGAAAGACTTGGCACAATAATATTCACTCATTTTTCGATGACTAAAAAAAGACAACTGATTAGAGTCAGAAGCAGTTAGTTAGAGTCTATCTCTGAATGTATGTTCAGATTTTCCATTTGGAGATTTATAGAAATCAGCATTGATAAAAAGAATTGCTGTTTTCAAAAATTCATTTTAAAAATACAAAAGTTAACCATTAAAAACTTTATCGTATTTTGAATTCGAAATATATAATTGATCAAAGTAGTATTCTGTACCAGAGATCTCAATGGATTGGGCCGAATCTTGAATGAAATATAAAGTTTTGTACCAAGACTTTCGCACGATAGGTTATATATATATATATATCCTTATTTAGACAAAGTAGTCCATTATTAGCAAGTATCGTCAAACGAGCTGCACAAGCTTTATCTACAACTATAATGGATTTTGGTAAGAGAATTCTTGTGAATAATATTTATTTGTATTTCTTAAATAGAACTCATGACAACACCACAACTTCATTATGCTATTCGTTGTTATAATGATGATGATCTCAATGGAAAATATACTGAAGCTGATTATTTCGATAAGTTATGTACAGCATTTCAAAATCTAATTTTTGTAAGATAATAGTATTTTGTTCTTGTGTTTTGATTTGATTTGATTTATTTAGATGACATCTAGTAATAAATCTTTTGAATCACTCGCTATTGATGCTGCAAATGGTATTGGTGCTATAAAATTAACTCATGTACGTCGAATATTAGCAAATTTTATTCGAATTGATATTTATAATGATGGTACAAAGGGTCTTTTAAATGATAAAGTAAAGAACAAAAAAAAAAAAAGTTATTGAAAAAAAAAATTTATTTCTATTTCATTTAGTGTGGTGCTGATTATGTTAAAATATATCAAAAAGCTCCTGATGGGTTACCATTAAAAAATTATTCAAAATGTTGTTCAATTGATGGTGATGCTGATCGTTTAATTTATTTTTTTATTGATGAAAATAATCAATTTCGAATACTTGATGGTGATCGTTTTTCTGTTTTATTTGCATTATTTCTTTCACTTAAATTACAAGAAGCTAAATTATTTGATGATGTTAAAATTGGTGTTGTACAAACAGCTTATGCTAATGGTCGTTCAACAGATTATATTATTAATACAATGGTATGAATATTTAAAATCATAATAATAATTTTTAAAAAAAAACAGATTTTATTTAGAAAGTTTCCGTAGCATGTGTACCAACTGGTGTTAAACATTTACATCATAAAGCACTTGATTATGATATTGGTATTTACTTTGAAGCAAATGGACATGGAACAGTATGATGTTTTTTTTTTTCTTACGGTGGAAAATTCTTCAACTAATAAATCGCTTTTGTGTCGAGAGTCTCAACATAAAAGTGATTTATTAGTTGATGAACTTTTCTCGTTAATGAATTCAATGTTTATAAAGATTTGTTTAGGTACTTTTTAGTGATGATTTAAAAAGTAAAGTAAAAGCAGCAAGTGAAGATCCAAAGTGAGTTGATGACATGAAGTAATTCTTTTACAGCTTTTTTTTTTTTTACATAAATTTAGACGCACAGAGAAAGAACGGTTAGCAGCAAATCAAATTCGTACATTTATTAATTTAATTAATGAAACTGTTGGTGATGCTATAGCTGATATACTTGCAACAGAAGTTATTCTTTTTTTATTGAATTTAAATCTTGAAAAATGGTTAAATTTTTATGATGATTTACCACAACGACAATTAAAAGTAGCTGTTAAAGATCGAACTATGATACAAACAATAGATGCTGAACGTCGTTGTATTGCTCCTGCACATTTACAAGATCGTATAGATGAACTGGTTTCAAAATATCCATCAGGTCGTGCATTTGTTCGGTAAGAAAATAATTATGCAAAAATTTCATTGATTATTCATTTTTCTTTTAAAGACCATCGAGTACAGAAGATATTGTACGTGTTTATGCTGAAGCAATAACACAAATAGAAGCTGATAAATTAGCTATTGAAATACAAAAAGTAGTAGAAGAATTGATCAATTGAAAGATAATTACAAAGAAATTTTTGCAAAATTTTAACATTCCATTTAAATTTATTTTATGATATTTAGATGCTCATTATTTTTTTTCTCATACATTTAATGGTAAATTTTATTCAATTATTTTGTTAAATATATTATTTATATATATATATATACACATATTCACAATAAAATAAATTACGATAGTTATTTAATTGCAGTCAATAAAATGATTCAACATGATTTATTTTCAATTTTTTTCTTTGTCATAAGCGCTAGCAAGGATTCGAATAGAGAAAATGGTTTCCAACAAGAAAATAAAAATTATTATCAGATTTTCAAAGATAAACATTCTATAAAACCAAAAAGCTAGTGTTTCAGTATTTGTAACTTGATGAAAGCCCTTAAAGTCATCTTTCAATCAAATTGCTAGTAAAAAACATTGCAGAGAGCTTGATGACGTCTCATTTTGTAGAGAATTATTTAATCTACTGTTATAAGTACTGAAAAACTAACTTTTTGGTTTTCTGGAGTTTCTATCTTTGCAAATCTGATAATAATTTTTATTTACTTATATTATTATTGAACTTTGTTGAATAATTTTTGGTACTCACTGTATAGATAAATTGCTCAAAGCGTGCAAACTATTTCAATTAAAACTATATCAAAATGATGAAGTAGTTCTTTTTTTTTTGTGTGTGCACCTATTGAGAAAAATGATAACAGGTTTATTAAGATGTGTGTTGAAATAATGATGATAAAGATAACCTAAAATATCATTTGATTACAAAAGAGAGAGAAAAAAGAATGTCAAAGTGTTTTTATTTTTTCTTGATTTAACCGACTATTTACTTGACCAACAAATAAGGAAACTAATGAGTTTAGATAAACGTCCTTCTTGTTTATATAATCTTCCTCATGAAATACTCTACGTAAGTGTTTTATCTTGTGCTCAATTACTTACACAAGCTGCACTAGGAAATGTACTTGTTCCACTTAATATCATTGCTCCGGCTATTGGTATAACGAATCCTGATGAATTACCTTGGACATTAGCTGCATATTCTTTAACTGTTGGCGTTTTTATAATGATTACTGGACGATTAGGTGATATTTTTGGACATAAATTATTCGTTATACTTGGATATTTGATGTTTTCTATATTTAGTCTTCTAACTGGTATGGCTGCATATATGAATAATAGTATCTATTTTCATGTTATGCGAGCATTTCAAGGAATAGGTCCAACTATGCTTTTACCCAATGCTGTTGCATTACTTGCTAGAGCATATCCAGTTGGTTTAAGAAAATCTATTGTTTTTTCAATATTTGGAGCAACAGCACCTTCTGGATTTATTTTAGGTGCTTTGTTTGGAAGTATATTTGCTCAATTTATATGGTGGCCATGGGCACAATGGGCACTAGCAATTTTTTGTTATATTCTTGCTATTTTGACTTATATTGTAGTTCCAACTGAATTGTCACTAGCTGTTCATCCGACAGGTAAAGCTGATATTCTTGGCGCGATTATTGGAGTATTGGGTCTTATCTTATTTATTTACTGTTGGAATCAAGGACCTATTGCAGGTTGGGAAAAACCATATGTTTATGGTGTATTAATTGCTAGTATTTTAATTATCGCACTTTTTGTTTTCATTGAAATGAAAACGAAGGAACCAATCATGCCATTATCTATTTGGTCTGTAGCTGGATTTCCAGGTGTTCTTGGATGTATGTCTTTGGGTTGGTCAAGTTTTGGTATATTTATTTATTATATTGTTCAATTTCTCGAAATTGTTCGTAATGTATCACCATTGTTAACAACAGCCATGTTGACACCACTGGTTATTTTTGGTATTATAGCTACAATAATTGTTTCTCAACTCTATGATCGTGTACCTGCTCATTATCTTCTTACGGCATCAATGATTTTCTTTTGTCTTGGTAATACTCTTATTGCTACAGCACCTGCTAATCAAACATATTGGACACAAGTATTTATAGCTACAATATTGACTCCATTTGGAATGGATATAAGTTTTCCTGCTGCATCATTAGTTATAAGCAATAGAATGCCTATGCATCAACAAGGTGTTGCAGCAAGTATGCTTAATACAGCAATTAATTGGTCTATTGCATTAGGTTTGGGCATTGCAGGAACAATTGAAGATCAAGTGCTTAAAAGAGGAAAGACTACATTAGAAGGTTATCGATATGCATTATATGGTGGTATTGGACTTAGTGGTTTAGGTGTTATCGTAGCACTCCTATTTTGTCGTGTTCCTAAAACAGCTAATTCAAGTGATAATGAACAAACACAAGTAGATAGTTCATCCATCGCACCGTCAGATGCAGTTATTAATACAGATATAACTGAGAGCGAAGGACTTGAAGAAGAATATTTGAAAACATAACGATTTTGTTGGTATTATTTTTGGTACAACAGCATAGATGTAACGAGAGAGAAAGAGAACTATTATAGATGAAAATAGATTTATGTTTTTTTTTTGTTTTCGTACACAATTAAAGAGAATGACAATTTTTTAGGTTAATATTTCTAAATGTGATTATTTTTAATAACTAAATCAATATTATCGACTTCTTTCTTATATCAAAAATTCAATTTTGCCGTCCTCTAATGTATCGTGTTGTTGATTATTCTGATAAATTAATGATTCTTTGTTCATTCCATGATATATTTATGCAACTTATGTAGAATTGCAGACATATACTATCGATGTCAGCTGAACAACAATTACATTTCAAAGTTTGGCCTTCATATGAAAATATGTTTTAGATTATTTCCCTAAGAATCTAAAAAAAAAAGATGCAAATCCAAATAAGAAAACATATTGTGCTATACTAAAATACTGATTTTTCTATATAAAATATATATTAAT